TCACAAAAGTGTTCCAAATTCTAATATTAGAGAATAAGCATATTTATAAATTATATAACAGCTTCGATATCCGGTCATTATCAACGTTTGCAAATCGCATAAGGATATAGCTAATTTATATCAAAACACAGTTTAACAATTACGATTTATATTGTAATATATTTAACTGTAATAATTCACAGTTACATTTACATAGTTTATGTTAACTCTATCAAATATTACTATTCTAAATAATACGCGATGTTTCGACTACGAACTCACGTTTAATGATGCATGTAGTATTGTGAAAAAAAAAAATGAAAGAGTATGTTAAATAATTCAGTGTGTACTAAATCCTGGGCTCTATTCCACTTTTGGCATTTATAAAATTCGCATCAGTCAGTTTCAGTCAATTTTACTTGTAGTGTGTGTAGCTCTACAGGTTTCGTGAAAGACATTGATATGAAAAAAGAAGAAAAAAAGAATAAAAAAAAAGTACGTGTAACATTTTATTATATGTGTGTGTGCGTGTGTGTGTGTGTGTGTGTGTATGTGTAAAGGAAAAAGAGATAAAATACTCCTTATCTTTCATCGTGAAAATGAATGTGGTAAAGAAAACAAGAATGCTTGTATTTGTTTAGGACTTTATATTTTGTACGTAAAAAAAGTTTACATTCAAATAATAATAATAATAATAATATGTATCCTTATAAACTTATCTTATGCATGAAGTTAATAGGAATGATGTATGTTTGATGTGACCTATCTTTTGTAAAGCATAACAATAAATATTATCTTCATAATTGAAGGCCTTCATTCACATTGTTCTATTGTCGATCTCAACATCAGTGTTCTACTTATCGAATTATTAATTATTCCTTTTTTTTTACTCAATCGAAAGTAATTTTTTTTTTGTTACAGTTAAATATCTTACTGCAAAGTATTTTCATTTTAAAACCCAATTCAACTTTCATAGACTGCTTTACTGTAAAATTTTTATTTATTTATTTTATTTATTTTTTATAAGTACCACTCAATTGTGATTCAATGACGATGAATGAATCGTTTCAATGTTATAACTAAAATGAATATAAATGAGGATCGAACAAAGGAATATCTTGTGAGGCATGCCTCACCATATCAAGTAATTGGAATCCATTAATACCATGTCCGGGTGGAGAATAGGAAAGCAACACTGTGACAGAGCATATCAAAATTAACACGTTCATAAACAAAGATAATTGTTATCTTAAGTAATATAACTGGAGTCGGCGACGACATTAGATTTTGTAAGATAAGATACATAAAATTCGATAAATTTGATATACTTTTTTCATAAAATTAAACAAAGAAAATACAAGTATGTATTCAGCATGTCTTTGAAAAAAACATAAAATTTTTAAAATTTTCTCAATTTAACTTAATTTTTTCTTTTTTTTCTAATTCAATACTATGAAATCGTTATTTATCATCGAAAAAAACAATTATATTTCGTTATTATTGTTCTGATATTTGTGTGTGACTCATGTAAATATTTCTTACATATGTATTTACATTTTTTATCGTTCCATAAATAAATAATTTTTGAGATTATGATACGAAATACTGTTACTTCGTTGATCCGATGAAACTTGGGAGGGAAAAAATCAGGTTAAATGAGATTTATGTCACATGTGTCTACGAATTGTCAAATCACAGAGGGCACAACTTTTCACGCACAAATTTGAAATCACATATTTGTTCAGTTTTACTACTTGTCATTGATTAGGTAAGATTAGATTTTTTATCAGCTTTCTAACAGCTTATTAGTATTTACTGTAAGTATTGGAACGTGCCTCACACTGAATTTATTCCCTCTTTTTCTCTTGTTATTAAATAACAAGCACGAAATTTTTATCTTGAAAAAGAATTAATAAGATAGCATAGCTGTACGCAAGTAGCTAGATAGTGATAATGTTCTCGTTAAAATTAATTCTTCTCTGATAATTTTTCAGGCTGTCGTACTGATATCTCTGTCAAGACATTTTAACCAATTATTGTCAGTTATTAAATAAATTGGAGAAATTGGTAAATAGTTCAGTAGATTTTATTTTATAATATCTATTGCATTTTTTATATTTGCCCCAGTTATAATTTTACTTTTGCCATTTGTGTATTTTGTTGTATCCATTTATGTAGTTTAAATCTGTTAAAGTGTAATGAACATTAACAGTGTCAAAGAAGTATCATGGAAAATAAAATGGATATTCCTAGTGGTCAAAGTGAGGACAACGAAGCTCTATATACAAATAGTGAAAGGTGAAAGAAATATAGTTCTGTTTAAGTCAAAGTAAAAAAAC